GTAAGAAGCCTGAGTGGCTCAAGTTTACTAAAACATGGGGTGGAATTAGAAATGGAGTTGGGCCTTAGTAAGGAAGTGGGCCTAACAGGTGGGTTGGACCACACGATGAAAGGGATGGTGGTGCAAGACCTGGGCTTGAAGGATGATTTTCAAGGTGGGCCTCAAAGTGTATTAGGGCCTATGTCACGTACTTCATATTTGTCACAGACCCATGAAGGTGAAGTTTGTTCTAGATTGGAGGAACAACAAAGCAAAGGGAAGAAGAAAATAGTAAGAAAATCAAATGGAAAGAAGGTTATAGAGATGAAGTCGGGTTACCTGGTAAAAAGATATGGCTATAAAGGGGCCACATCAAGTAAACTAGGTCCTAAAGGGGTACTATCGAGAGCAGCAGCTATGGCTTTTTTAGCATCATCTGAAAGTGAAATGGTTAGAGATAACAATGCACTTAAAGAGGCTTCTGCAACTTTACAAATAGGGAAACTATTGGGAGTAAAATGCAAAGGTAATGAAGATGAGGTGTTATAAAAAATCCTGGACTTAGAAGCAAAGGATAGAGAAAGAAAGGGAAGGGGTACTGATGCTGCAAGTTGAAATGCAGTTAAAGGGGGGCTGGGTTTAGTGATATTGTTTTATGATGAAGCTAATATCATGGAATGTGAGGGGTTTGGGTAGGAAGGAAAAAAGGAGTAAAATTAAAAGCATGATGAAAGCCAGAGGAGTTGACATTGCATTGTTTCAGGAGACAAAGAAAGCTTCTATGTCAGAAATGTAGGTGAGGGAATTATGGAGTAGAGAGATGATAATTTCATGACTGTGGATGCTGAAGGAACTGCTGGTGGTCTATTATGTATATGGGATCCAGGAGTGCTCCAAGTCTGATGATGCCGCTGCAGTAGACGATTCATTCTGTTATCTGGTACTTTATTCTTTTCTTTTGATTGTGTTATAGTAAATCTATATGCTTCAAATGAAATGGGGCAAATAGGGAAATTATGGGAGAGTCTGTTGAAGTTAAAGGAGGAGTCATTGGTGCTTAAGGGGTGATTTTAATTAAATCAAAAGCATTGGTGAGAGAAAATGGTGCTCTAGAAGGGATAAGGGTATGAAGGAGCTGAATGAATTCATTGATAAAAGTGAAGTGAATGATCTTCCGCTGTTAGGTAGAAGATATACATGGTGCAACTCCAGGGAAAGGGAAAAATGGAGCAGAATTGACAGGGTTTTAGTGGAACTAACATGGTTGGAATCATTTAATCTAAAGTTGTAGGGGTTACCTAGAGCACTGTCAGATTATAACCCTTTACTCTTGATGGAGGATGAGAGAGATTGGGGCCCCAAGCCGTTTAGGTTTCTGAATGCTTGGACTCTTCATCCAAATTTCTTACCTTCTATGGAAAAGTGGTGAAAGGAGCATGATGTTCAAGGCTGGGCTGGATTCAGATTATTTAAGAAGATAAAAGAGTTGAAGCTAGCTCTACAGGTTTGACGTTGTTTTTGCTTTTAAAATTTTTGAAGACACTACTTTTCTAGCCCAATGGGCCTCATAACTTTTGGACCCAAAACAGATAAGGCCAAGTAGTTAACAGGCCAACCTACAGACTCCATATTTATTGAGCCTTATCTTGGGTTCATATATATCATGGGTAATAAGCTAATTAGGTGATGCAGCTAATCCTATTAAGAAAATTAAAATAATTTTAGTTACCATTACATAGATATTTAGGAAAAGTTAGATTAGGTATAGACATAGACAAAACCAGGATTTTATTTACAGAGGGACCAAACCAACATACCCTTCACTCTCTCTCTTTTACTAAACCTGATCATTTAGCTAAATTCTTGCACCAAATTGGAGTAACGTGTGTCTATATATATTATATATCTATACTATTATATATGTGTACACTTGATTTGGTGTAATATTAAAGTAAAATTTTTTCCCAAAATACCCAATGCATGAGATAACGCTTTTGTTTGTGTTTCTTTACCACAAAAAGAGACAAATATGTAATAGCAAGACAATACTCACATTCAAAAAAAAAATTCTTTATAATTTTATTTGTCAAATCTCTTCCCGATTTCAAAAAGTAATAGTATATGCATCGCGTGAAGTCAAATGTCAGTATACATAAAATGATAGAGAACATAGAAAATTTTCCATGTAACATAATATAATTGTTCGTTTTTCTATTTTAGTCCACGTGAATTGGTACATAAGGAGTATGTAACAAATTTTTTTTTTTTTTTTCAAATATCTTGACAAACATTAACAATATGACTGATTTGATATAAAATGTAAAATAAAGGGTAAAATAGTTATAATTGAAACTATAATGACTAAATTTATACGAGTAAACTACTGGGAGTATTGTTTTAATATACCATTGTTTTTAACACAAATTGAAAACTTCAAGAATTAAATTGAGATAATTAGAATTATAATGACCAAATTAGTACAAGTGACAAATTACAATTGCACTAATATAATTTGATGTTCTATTTATATATAACAAACATATTCATAATTTTTACTTAAAAAAGTACTCAAAATTTGAAATGATTAATCAAGTATCTTGAATGTGGCCTGCCTAACGTTAAGCTTAAATCTACAGTATACATGAAAAACGGTGGGCACTTCCTAAGTAATAATTTTTAAGTAGATAGTATTTCTCATTTATAACATCACTCTATATGGATGTATAATATGAAAATCCCACTGCATTTCCTTAGATCATTGATTGGACGGACTAAATAAGGGTGGATTAGAATTCATCGGACTTGAATCCTGAGACTGTGAATCCCCCGAACTATTTGGTTAGATTGAATATGTATCCTGTGTTTATTTTCTCATGCGATTAGATGTCTGGAAAGGACTATTTTTAGTGAATCCA